TATCGTTACAGAGATGTGCACATGTCGAAAGAATTATCCTATTTTACTTTTATTGAAAAATGCATCTCAGAAGTCATGTAATCCATTGCTAACTCAACAGTAAAAGATGCTTGGACACACGTGGCCCATGCCGATCATTTTATTTGGTCAGGGAAAATATCAAAGTTTGAAAGCTCAGTGGGGTTGATTGAAGAAAAAGTATTTTTTTCAAAAATAAACATTACTCTTGTCTGTACATATTGTGAATAAAATTTACGATTAAGTACATGGTTTAACTTCATCAAATTCATAAAAAAGCAGGCATTATTACATTTGTACGAATCATTCACCTTTTGAAGATATTTTCCCGTGATATGAAGGGGGGGGGCTGATAAAACATGCATAACACTCTCATAAAAATAATGTAAGAAAAACGTCTGAAACAGATTGGATTTCTTTATGATCAATTATTATCAAATAGATACTGTGTATTGGCTTTATCAGACCTAATATAATTTGATTTAAAGTTATTTATAATTTTATGCACCATGAAAGAAAAAGTGAGCACGCTCACATACCCCACGCTCCCTCAAAAGTCGGAGTGCTGAAATTCGTGGAAAAAATAAAGGAATCGGATTTTTTTGGTAATATGCACATCTACTCATTGTGTCCTAAATATCTGCAAAGTTTGACGAAATTGTGTGCAGCGGTTTATGAGGAGTTGCACTGAAAAACTGCTCACCTCTATATTCAAGATATGGCCAAAATATAAATGTAAAAGTGCGGAAATTCCCGAAAAATAAAGAATTCGGAATTTCCTGGTGATGTGCAAATCTACACACACATTGTCTCCTATAAATATCTGCAAATTTCGACAAAACTCTGTACAGTGGTTTATGAGAAGTTGCGCTGACCAAAAAAAAAAAGACTGACTGACGGGTCACAAACATTATACCTCACGCGTGGGGTATAATAAACGAGTTTGATTCTTTGGTACAACGATAATGAAAATAGAATTTAATGTGAATTAAATTTTTAGACATAAATAATTAATGATTATTAGAAAAAGCATATAGGAAGAGAGAGTAAACTCCTCGTGAGAATTCCATATTCTACCTAAACAAGCTTTTTAAAATTCTCTTGTCTGTTGTCCAAGTTCGACACATACGTTTGAGAAGATATTCGAGAGAGTTCCCAATGTTCCCATTCCTGTGATTTATATTTCACGTTTATTATATCCCCCGCCTGAAAAGTGGGAGGTAATCGTTATGTCCGTTCGTCTGTCTGTTACGCTTTGGGATACCCATCTCTTATCCGCAAATCCTCTTACACCACTTAGAGAAATTTAATGAAACTTTCAAAGAATCTTAAGTTTATTACATATTACCATTATGCACCTCCTATTTTACTTTTTGATCTGACACGTATGGGTTTAGCGAAAGATGGACTTTGCCATTATAACCATATGGGAGGCAGGGGGTATCATTTAGTGAGTTCATTGCTCATAATACATGTACGTCTAGTTTCTCTTTCAATTTGGGCGTTTGGGTAAATTTCCTGTCCAAAGTAAAATTATTTTTCAATTTATGAAGTTTCGACATCCCGCCTGAAAAAATTCCTTGATCTGTCCTGAGGCATAATAAATGGTACAGCGCAAAGTGCGTAGGATTTAATACCTATCATTGCCCCAACGGGTGGTTACAGAGAGAGAGAGAGAGAAAGAGAGAGAGAGAGTTCAATATACAAAAAAATAAATAATAATTATCCGTATTCAACCAGTGTCAAGTATCCCTACCCCAGCTTTTAAAATTATCTCCCAAATTCGCCTACAGAAATTATTTATATATATATATAAAAGATACCTAGACTATCAGGCAGGGATACTGAAATCTCGAAATACTTCCTGTAACAACATAATTATAAAACAGTTACATTCCTCAAAATGCACATACTTTGTGGTCGGAGTGACACATTTTAAAAAAATCTCAAAACTGAATTCGGCAGAAATGTCTGTCTTTCAAGAATATTTAATAACGGTCATGTCAATTATTTTTGTATGCCCCCCCCCCCCCCCCGTTACAAAAAATCAAATGCCTAAATGTCAATCTGAACAAGGGATGGCCTTTCTCCGTGTGTGTATGTGTTAGAAAATGTATAGATATTAAATGTATAGATGTACCCATAAAAATTTGCATTCTGGTTAATTGCTTATAAGATTTGAATTAAATTATAGCCGTACATCAAATTACTTTGTTTAGATTTGAGATTAGTACTAAAATAATCAGTTATAATTGACAAATGAATTTTGCGACGCAAACCAACTGCAGACTATATACATGACTTTGTATAGAACGTGTATTAGAACTACATGTAGATAAACAATTCACAATTATAGCTTATGAACATCAGTTATAATATCCAACCCCCCTTTCAGCCGCGCAAATACCAATACAAATAACTTCTCTTTCCACTTTTGATATTTTCCCAGACCAAAATCTGATCAGCACGGGCTAAGTGTATCGTCGTGCTAGTGTGTACGGAGTAATGACAATGTGTTTACTATTGAGCTTTTATGGAGTTTATTTCTTTTTTGTGATGCATATTTCAATAAATGGAATTCAGGGTGTATTTCACTTGACTTGTGCACATCTTCGAACCGATGCAGTAACCTTATTACCAGGTATGGGTACGTTTACAGCGTTCGAGGCGTTTTCTCGATATGCATCAATTGCATAGGACCTGCAAATCAAAGACGTTGGTTGTTTTGTTCCATTCAAATGATATAATTTCAAAATGTGTTTGCAAATTTTACAGCTTTTTATTTCAAGTTTATTCTGCATAAATTGGCGCACTGTAAAAATACGTACTCACCCAAACTTGCATTTTTTTTTCTTTTGATTCAAATCAATAATCATTCAAAAATATGATTATTATGTTGTTTATTTTGTTTTTGAAATGTCTTGATCACCTCAGGTGTTCTCATATGCTTTACCATCGGAGATGTGCACAAGTCGATACCCAATCCAAAAAATCATTCAAGTGTAACGAGCGCATTGGGGTATACATCGTTACAATGAGACAAGGTATCTGAAAGAAATATGGCGGAACACGGCTAGAGTTGGTATGAAACAAGTCGTACATAGATGAAAATGTTGCGTTTTTAAGAATTCATGTCAGCTTTAATTTATGTTGTAAATGTTTTCTATGTGTTGTTTTTAAACTAATATGATAATCGGTTTAAGAGCTCTACAGAGCTCATGTTTAATGTTATGCTATGTAAAAATGCCGACTTTAAATAAAATTTACTTACTTACGTACAGAATAAATTAGATGGCGAAAAATAGAAATTTCGTATATCTTAATACATGTCATTGGTATTCATCCAGTTTAATTTTAGATTCGTTCTTACGATATGTAAGCTCCGCCTCTCATGCATACATAATGATCAATCAAGGGCAGGTATGTGTAAATGATCTCTATCTGGAAAACCGTAAGGACAAAAAAATGAAATTAGTTAATGTATTACAGTCTAAAATTATTTTTGACATTCAAATTGGGCGTCTAATTGACAGACCATTGTAGTTACTCAGGTCTACCGAAAAAGAACCAAACCACAGCGTTAAGTGCAATAATTCTTTACGCTTCTTGTAGAAAAATATCCATCTCTGCCAATTATCGTAATTAAATACATTTACAAGTATTCCCGTCTATATTGGTTTATAGCACGGTAAAACATTTTATAATATGGTCATATATGAATAATGCAAGCGTTTACAGCATATTATATTTAAAGCATATGTTTGGATTGGGCGGGGCGAAAAAGGGAAATAATTAATTATGAAAATTGGGCCTTTAACGAATAATGATCGATATCAAATAATCTCCAGGCATTACAAGTACATGAACATGGTATAAATTATGGACCTCTGGGAATTCAAGAGTCGGGATAAAATCCCTAGGATGTATATGCTTCCTCTGTCGACCAGTCACACTTGCTGTGAGACCTATGTATTGAATAGTTAATTGATTTTTCTCCTCTAATATTGTAAAAAGGATTGGGGTTTAGCAGTGAATCTGAACTTTTTTTTAGTTGCTTTACGAAGGAGATGTCTTTAAATCCTCCATCGTCAACTTTTTTTTGTTTGTGATATTTCATTTCCACTGGTATCTGGTGTATATGTCTCCTAAATTATTCGATACTTAATAACACGCTCTGAGTATAAACATTTTTTAAACAGATGCATATTTCTGAAAAATAAGTTGATTTTACAGAGATTTTAACAACCCCGCTTAAAGTCAGCATTTCGTATTATTATTGAATTGTGTTAATTATTGTCTGACATATTTCTTTTCAATTAATTATGTATTTTTTAAATTAAAAAAACTGACTATACTCCGTCTACCTGATTAATATCTAACTGTAGGATCGACGAGGGATGATTACTCCTCCAAGGCACCTGATATCCCATCTCTGAAATTTCCATGGTTCTGGGATATATGCCCTGATATCACATTCGTGTTTTTGTTTTTTGTTTTTTTTTTTGTTTTTTTTTTTTTTTTTATAAAAAATCAATCACTCTCGTTATCATCGTCTATATCGTTACACAAAGAAATGTAAACAAAGAAAATGTCTGTCGATTTCTTGATGTATACTTTCTAAATCTGATATCGGAATTGATAACAATTTTAATTGGGTGTTTAAGGTCTGAACGTTGACTTGAGAGTAAAGTATTTAAACAAATACATGTACTAGATCTAGAACATAAAGTAGGACATGAAGTAGGACAAAATATATATTTAAGTCAGCATTTAAATTACAAATACATAGTGAAAATAATGGCCCTCATGAAATGATATAAAAAGTTTTACCATTTTCATATATCCATTAACATGATTAATTAGTTTAAAATTAAAGGTGAATCATACGTTTGTTTGTCTGATGAAATAAAAGAAGTGACAATGTTTTTCTGATTAGTAGAGACACTTCCTAAATAGAACGTGTCAAGGAATGCGGTCAAAAAGTAGAACGATGTGTGCGCGTTTATTTATATAGAGGCGAACATGGTCACTAATCATCAGTGAACTAAATACTGTACGAAGACATGGAGCAAAATGGCGATGGTAAACCGAAAAAGCCTATTATTTTTGACGGAATGGCATTGCCGCCATTTCCTCCCCTCGTAAAAGATGCAAAGGAAAGGTTTGAAGAAATCAGGGACCTGCCTTGTAGGGAAGACGATGTTTTACTGGTTATCTATCCGAAATCAGGTATTTATAGACATGTAGCTGTGCTAGTCATTAATTTTTGTTTACATTATATCGTGTTATCCACAATTGTTGGTATATGCAAACAACAGCATGAGCTAGGAAAAGTGCTTGTGACTTTGCTAAAGATTTAATAGAATGACTTCTTTTTAACTTAAGATATGGTATACGTACAAACAAAAATGACGATATATTAATATCTTTGTTAAGGTTATTTTAACAAATGATATTGGTAAGCAGACACGGTCAGTTCATGAAAACTATAAGTGCAGTCCTGGTGTGAAAATGATTGATGTAACGTTAACATAATCATGATAATTAAGATTCCCATTACAGGCATGATCTAAAGCGGTGTTAAGAATTTAGCATATCGATTAGATCTTGTTCAGTAGTTTCTTGTGTTTACACTTAAGGATCGAATAAATCTTTTATCTTGAGAAGAAGATTTTAAGTTTTCCCCATGTATCCCTTTATGAAACGGTGATCGCCTTATGTGGCCTCATATCACCGTTGTCATGATTTTTACAAACTACCTGGTATGGTTCCATATAGATATGGATAAGCATGACTTTGCTGTTTTTGTTGATTTTCAGCCAAATGCCGATATGATAATCTTTTCTGAGAAAATATTCCCTATTTTCTGATTTCTGTCGTCGATCATGGTATTGTCATCGCCGTAAACTTTTTAAAATTCCGTCTTCTTCCTCAGAACTACTAGACAAGTTTAACGGAACTTGACACAGAATATTCTTTGGTAAAGGGGAATAAATAAATGCTGACTGGCATTTTTATACTAACGGCAAGGTTATTTTCTCACTGGATAGGCTACGGATTTTTGCATTTGACCGATCATGAAAAGGAATACACGGTGTGATCGGTCGGCAGGGTTGCTTACTCCTTCATGGCCCCTGATCCTACCTCTGATGTTTTTGGATGTGCGTGTTTGCTCTGCTCCCACTCTGTATTGTTTAATTGGATTTGAATACTGTTCGTAATCACAATATATTTTTATCTCGATATTTGTCTGTTATCGACATATTTCATCCATACAGTATTACAGTTTAACAGATTTTTCAATATAAAAATACCAAAAAAGATCTTTTTTTCTATTTCAGGAACCCACTGGGTCTGGGAAATTGTCTGCATGTTACTAAAAAAGAAAGCCGAATACATGAAAGAAACAAAGGACTTTTTCTTTTTGGAAGCCATACCAGACATGAGCGTAGTTCATAATCTGGCCTCTCCAAGACCACTTAACACGCATGTACCCTACAGATGGTTACCAAAGCAGCATATAGAAAATGGAGGAAAGATTGTCCATGTTCTGAGGAATCCTAAAGATGTTGCCGTATCGATGTGTCATCATTTCAACAATACTAGAGAATTTGGTGAACCTTTAGACTTCAAGACATTTTATGAGAAATTTTTCATGGGCCCAGGTAATGTTAGAGTTAAAAGAAAAGAAATAACTTTTTCACTTTAAAAAAAAAATTAATAAGCATCATACTGGTTGATATTGGCCCTCTGAACAAAGGCTTAAGGTTTTAGTGAGACTTCCTCTATTTTTAATTACTGGGGAAAAACCTTCTTAAATAGCTTGACAAACACACTGACATGTTCAAATGCCAATCCGTCGACAAATATTTCTAAATTGGTCTCACTGACCTTGACAAACTAAAACAAACTGGTCGCTCCTAAAATTCAATTTACTTTTTGATCATAATTTGAACAAAAAAATGGAACAATTTCTTAAACAAAGTAAGTCATTGAAAAACAAGTCGACAAAGTAATAATACCGGTATCTGCATTCTCGTTTAAAGTCATCCTTTTGTAAGTTGAATGGTTGATACAACGGCCTTGTCAGCAAATACAATTAATCATTGAGTCAAATTCAATCTGACTTTTTCCATACTGATTGTAAGGTCATTTTTTACCCGCTGAGTTGTCCAGGGTTTTTTCCTTTATATCCCGATCATTACAAGGAGCACACGGCGGGTGTGACCGGTTCCCTTCTACAGGCTCATATTTTATCATGTTTAAGGTTTCATCAAAGGTCAACATATCCAAAAAAAAAAATTATTTTTACAATAGCTCCAAAACCATGTAGTTTATAAAATTGAAACTTTTTTTTATCATTGATTTACAGATAGATAGTACCACTTGATAACACATACTGCGTAAAAATTTTTATAGAGAGAAATTCTTTTAGATATGCCCATATTTTTTGTAAAAAAAAATACATTTGATTAATTCCGTATGTTTAGTGAAATCCTTGCAGAAAAAGTATATACTTACCAATGAAGGGCAAGTTGGACTTCGATAGCCTCTAGAAAGTTGTGTTCCCTTTTTTGTCCAAATGTTAAGACTTGAAACCAAACGTACATTGCAAATTGCGGATTTTATAGGGTCATGTGTTTATACATGTCATGCTTTTAATAAGAGTTTTTCAAAGACTATTCACATTCAACTTGTCCTTCATTGATAAACATATTTTTCTGCAATAAAGGTTTTTACTAAAAGTACAAAATTATGCAGGTGCAATATTTTTTTTTTAAATATGCATTTTTATACAAGCATATTTTTTCTTGATAAATATGTGTTTTAAGTATTTGTTTTCAATTGATACTTTCTAACTGGTAAATAATGATATATTTATAAACTTTAAAAGTTTAAACTTTGAACCTCAAATTGTTTTAGAGCTGTTATTGTAAAAATAATTCTTTGGACATGTTTGATGAAACCTTGACTTTTCAACTCGAGTACTGTTAATTTTCTCCATATATTTTATTTTATTAAGTGTACGATTCTTAGAATTAGTTTTGCATTAAATTGAAAAAGATGAGAAATGCTTGTATGTGCTTGTATTTAATCAACGGATGTGGTTTCAATTGATCAATAATGAAAAAGAAACGTATATTTTTCTTTCAGTTCAGTTATTTGGAGGCTGGTTTTCATATGAGAAGGAATTTGAAGAAGCGGAAGCAAAGGACACAGGTTCCGCTATTTTCACATTGCATTATGAAAGTTTGAAAAAGGTAATATAACAATGATATTTTTGTTTTACTTTAAGTAGTAAAATTCGTTTTGAGAAAATTAATTAAAGAAAAAGAAAAATTAAAAAGAAAAAATCAAATCGCAAATATTAAATCCGAAGAAATACATGTGTACATTTTGAATGATAAAAAAGCTGTTTTCAGGGATTTTAAGGTTCATAAATCCCCAGCTCAATCATATAAAATATTTCGGTAACTCTTACGATTTTCCAAAAGAAACGGATTTGTTAAATAAGATAAAAACAATTAAAGCATACCTTGCGGGGCACAATTGGACAAAAAGACACTTCAACTCGATAAGTTTTAAAAGGACAAATAGACTTTTATTTCATTAAGAGTTATCTTTCTTATCAGAGTATCGATGAACCTTAATGGACAGTTCTTTAACCCCCCCCTTCCCCTCACTCCATGAGACTGGTTTCATTTGTTATTTTGGGGATGGATGAAAGATAGAATACTAGTATCAATATGGTAATAGGTCTGTGATTCCTAAATAATCCGAATCATATAACCAGGCACTTTATATTAACTGATTTAATGTGACTTTTATATTAATTTCTTTTTAGAATCCAATACAGGAAACCAAAAAGCTAGCCAAATTTTTAAACGTTGATGTAAACGACGAACTTATAGCTGAAATAGTGGACAAATGTAGCTTTAAAAAGCTGAAAGAAGCTAATGACACAATGAAAGACATTATAAAGATAATTCCAGAGGAAATGAAACATGAAGGAAAAGATAAGGAGATTATGTCAAAGTTGTATCGCAAGGGTGAGTCATAAAATTAAATCACATAGCGAAAGACAAACAAAGTAAATGAAACATAGAAAAACGCATTTCTTACTACATTTACTATAATCAGAAGCATGTATCTGTATTTAGTACTGAGTAAAGGTTGAAATATGAAGCTTTTCACGGGTATAGAGTGACGTCTCTATATGAGTTAATAGAATCACCAATCAATCAAAATGTTTGCAAAAAAATGAAGAAGAATGTTGTTTTGCCAGAAGCCTACAATGTATAGTTATTGGATCAAAGGTTTTGTCCTGAGACCAAAGCTAAGTTGATCAAGTATTGAAATGCCGATTTTCAAATATTATAATAAGCAACAAACTTCTACTTAAAACTAAAAATAAATTATTAGTAGAATCAAAATTTTACCCTGGGTTGGGTCATTATGATCTACTTACATATAGTATTAGAGAAAAGGTAGGAAAAAAACTTCCCATGGCATCTCTACTAGAGTTAAAAAATCAATGTCATCTTGAAAGCAATATTCTTCTTTTCATCAAAAAAAAAAAAAAACCAACTCGCAAATGAACTTTTGAATTAAAATTAGAATGGTTTTGAAAGAGACTATTTTTCTGGTATAAAAATGAATTTGCGATTTAAGCAATGTCACCTTCAACTTATATAAATGTGTTTTCTGTTTCAGGAGAGATTGGGGATTGGAAGAACCATTTTACTGTGGCTCTAAATGAACACTTTGATGCAATGTTCAATGAAGAAATGAAAGATTCTAAAATTCAAGTGCAATATGAATGAAATGATATGTAAACAAAGATAATTTTATTACTCTTTATGAACATCAAAACGCAAACTACAAAAAATCTTTGAGCCTAGAAAAAATATCATCATTCTTGAACAATTTATCAAAGGTTAAATAGAAAAAGACATATATTTCATTCTGAACTTGAAAAAATTGTTTAAATGATGCTGGTTTCCTAATACCCGGTTTAAATGACCATTGTACATTTAGAATTGCGCAATGCATGTAGAAATCATCATCATCATCATAATAATGCATAGGTAACAGAGGTGTCGATCCAGCATTTAAAAGAACAGAGGAAGGTGGGAGGAGGTAATTGTACGCCACAAGTTCCAGTGTGCCAAAACGGGGATCTAATCCATATTTTAACCTTAATTTTTAAGGGAAACCACAGTTGCTACATGCGGAAAGCATATTAAGTGAAAATCAAAATTTGCTGTGAATACTTGAGGGTAAATGCACAAAAACTAAGTGAATTACATGAAATCGTTGCCTACATGTACTTTTATATGATAGAAAAATAAATGATGTTCCTTTTTGTTATGTCCCACTGCCTTTTATTTCAAGTTCAACTGGTTGTATAGCATCGACGTAAGAATGGAAATAACTGACAATACGTCGTCGAGAAATCTAAATGTCGAATTGAAGAACACAGCGTTTTCTTCTTTTAACATGTAAGATTTTGGAAAAATTCTGCTTTGTATGAAAACAAAAATAGGTCCGCTAATAACGGGCGCCATTGGTACTCATTGGAATTCTAATAGATTGTTATATGACCTAGTCTCCAAAACACACATAGATATTGTCAATCAGAAACTCCAAAATTTTTTGGTATCAACTTCAGAGAACATGTGTATACAAATTGAATTTTTGTTTGCAAAATGATTTTGCAAAAGACCAATGACAAGGTTAGTACATGTAAATTTGCGAGTTCCATTTTAATTGAAAATGCAGAAATATTTTAACTCTATAAATCTATGATGAGGGCATAAACCCGGACTTTTGAAAATCACAGATATGGGAGCAAGGATTATTGTCTTGATACACACTGCCAAAACAAATGTCTTACGTGATCCCCTTTCCGTACGCCTTTGCGTAACAACTACCCCATTCATACGATATGATTTGCATACCTCAGTATATTTTACACATAAGTAAATTTACTCCCATGTGCAATTTTGGTCGTATGAACTGATTTACTCATATGCAAATTCTGTGTAGTTGATTACATTTACACCTAGTCAGGACTAGGTGCAAATTAACTTTTGCAAACACTTTATAGCAAATTATAAGTTCATATGTGTAAATTTTGTCGTATGAACACGCAGCAAATTTACCAGACCTGAGAAAAGGTTTGAAGAAATAAGAAATTTGGAATGTAGAAAGAACGACATCATACTGGCTACCTATCCAAAGTCTGGTAAAGACTGTGCACTTGGTTTAAGATCTGTCATATTCAGAATAAACATGGGTACTGAAACTGCACAAGCGTACGTTTTTTGCTTTGTATAAAATATGAACACGCTTAAATAAACCAATTTTGTGTATTAGAATTACTAGATCACAGAATACACTACCTTGATTTAGAAAGTATTTAGTTATTTTGAATGAAATATTTGAAAAAGCCTTCTTAAAGTCAATTGCAATATATTTCTAATATGTATAATAATGTTCAAATGGAATTGAAAGTTCACCGTATTGTTTAATTCGTACATTGGGAATTTATGCAAAGCTTAAACTTGTTATCAGAATTTTCAACGTTTTTCATGAAAGTACATTTATTAACAATTGCTGCACTGGTATACTACTTTTTATTATAATTGAAAGCAACAAAAGTATTCTATTTAGACATGCTGGCAAAAATAGGCATGCCGAGATAATATAACACTATGGAAGATCTACAACCTTCCAAACTCATTTAAGATAATTAATATAATTTAAGGAAGTTGTTGGTTTTGTTCAAGTCCATAAAATATGAAAATGATAATTATATTGTAACAAAATAAGGCAAGCATTTTGTTTTATTTTGTTTGTCTAAATCGAATATTTTCAACTATTTACTTTTCCTTTTCCGATTCTCTCTTCCTGCAAAATTTGTAAAAGTAAAGAAATAACTCAGAAAAAATATCCGAGGGCCGGTCTTTGATAATTATGATTTTTTGAAAACAACAAATTAAAACTTAATTAACAACAAGCAAGAATAATTGTTCATATGCAAAACATTGCCTTCAACAGGAACGCATTGGGTTTGGGAAATCGTATGCATGATCCTCAAAAAGAAAGCAGAATACATGAAGGAAACCAAAGAATTTCTATTTTTGGAGGCTTTGCCAGATATGAGTGTAGTTCATAATCTTGCCTCTCCAAGACCACTGAACACGCATGTACCCTATAGGTGGTTTCCAAAGCAACATATAGAAAATGGCGGAAAAATTGTCCATGTTCTGAGAAATCCTAAAGATGTTGCCGTGTCGATGTTTAGATCGCGGGTTTACTGTCTGTCTGAAAACATAGGATAAAAATTTGTCAGCTAACTCCACTCGTTTTAAATTTTTCTTTTTGAATTTTTTTTTGAAATTCGTCTGCGTGGTTAGATTGTAATCGTTATTCAAATGCGCTAATGTTGATGAGAACAGATGACGCTTTTTCGATGAAATATGAAGTAAAATGTCCCTTTTTGCCGGAATACGCAATTCAAAACCATAATCATAACATTAAAACGAAGCAGACGAATTTTATATTACTCGATACAATGAATGTGAAGTAAATTTAGAATCGATTTATTAAAAAAAATTGATATGTGTTCTCGCTCAATTTCTTGCAAAAAATTTAAAAGTTTTACAATTTTTCATCAAAAGTAATATATTAAATATATTTTCATCACGACGTTATATTACGTTGGTGCGACGTCATTATTTTCGTATGCCTGCATGACTCGGAAAAAAAATTGAATTAAACAACAATACACTCAAAATAAAACATGCAATTTTCCGATATCATTGCCATAGTTAACCAACAGCGTGGCATTATATTCATTATGTCACGTATGGCTAGGGGAGCAGAAAAATTTTAACAATTGTACATGGATGTAAGAAAAAAAAAACATCTTACCGGAATTGCGAACATTTTCAAACATATACAGTGAAACCTGTCTAATCCGACATGCACTGGGAGACGAATTTTGTGTCGGAATAGACAGGGTGTCGGATTGCACAGTGTTTAAAACATTTAAAATGGTAAAATGGGAGAGAAATTTCAAGTCGGAATTCACAGTGTGTCGGATTATTCAGATGTCGGATTAGACAGTTTTCACTGTATATTTATATATTTTTGCATCATTTTTATGTATTAATAAAATGTACCCGAAATATTGCAGTTGAATTAAATATTTATGAACTACATTAATGTATACATTTATACTTCATAGAATGAATTAATTTTGTCTATCCCTGAATTAAAAGACTTCAGTTTTCCCTTCAGAACATCGTAAAGGCAATTTCTTATCATTACTTTGCAGATATATAGAATACTATAAGAAAACAGGTATTAATACAAGGGGCCGTTCAAAAATTACACGGACTTGTTGCACAGACAAAATATTTGACGACATAATCGGGCAAAATGTCACACATAATATAAAAGAATCTTTACTTATATGGTCTTCAAAATTTCATATCAAAATGTTGTAAATTGGTATCAATTTTGAGTGATTTATCAGGACATATCATTGAGTCACGGAGCAGCAAAATCTTCGACGTCACAAGCATTATAAAAAAATATGTTGAGCTTTCATTTTCTCAACATTTTCCAAGAGTACCTGTACAGTGTGAGCTACCTTATCTACTCAACATCCAAACACCATTTCTTGTCGAGCTTAAAATCTATTAAACAAGTAAAGAATGTTCTATTTTAAAAAAAAAAAACAAAAAAACAAAAAAAAAATTGCAGGTATTTATGAGATATAGTGTGATACTGGTGACTCTCAATTACGTTCTTTACAGTCCGGATAAAGTTTTCGTCGATAATCTTCTTCCCGTCCTCCCGTGTAGCCTTTTTACAGAGGTCTTACGGTCTAAAATTTCAATTTGCTATTTGTGGACGAATGGCACGAATACCCTCGTTTACTACATGTTTTATTATGCATATTTTGGATCTATGTTGGCGATATCTCGAGCATTACACATAATTTAACAAAAGTGTGGTGCGCCGTCAATTCAGGAGAGTTCATTTTCACAGTCTTTTTCACGGGAATCGCATCAGAAAAAAATCGCTATATTTCTGTTAGTACTTCAAATATCATGTCAGAAATCTAATTACATAATAATAAAACAATTTAAAGATACATTTGAGAAAATTGTCGAAAAATATCCCGAATTATAGAAAATTAATGAGTTAAATTTTGGATTCCGCATGCTTTTGCTTCAATTTTTTGTCATGCTCCGTACCTCTCCATCAGCAATATCAACATACCGATAATTTTCGTAAAATTTTTAAGATACAGAAAATTGCCCAAAATTTACTGGAATCTTGAAGATACATATTTCTGTGAAATTTCATAACTATCTGACGTCTGTAAGAGTAAATAATAGCACAGTCTGCGTTATTTTTGAACGGCCCTCATACTATAGAAAACATTACTACTATATGCTCGTGACCCCTCAATTGAAATGCCTTATCCCCCCCCCCTCCATTTTTATGCTTGTCAAGGAATTTTTGGTTATTAATAGTACCCCCAACTGAAAAAAACGAGTAGCTGTGCCCCTAACTGAAATTGCGTCTTACGGGCCTGCAACTCTTGCCTTGACACTCCACTCCCAAACAAAACATCTTTATTTTGACATCATTTCAACATAATTTATGTTCAATATCCTTATAGATACATCACATATTTAACATTAGAATTACATTTGTAGATATTATATATAAAGATTTTGATGTGAGAGCTGTTTAAAACTTATCCAAAGTTCGTTCTTAGGATAATTTTCAGGGGAAAAATCTTTTTTCTCATTCTGTGGGAGCAATTTATTCCTCAAATGTTACATTTTTTTTTATAAATATAAATTTGATGATTTATTTATGCCCTTAAAGACACTTCTTTTATTATCTAACAATGTTTTCTATGTATGACCGTTTAATGTTGGAGGAACGTATTTAATACGAATGTATTTTTTAAAGCATATAAACACCTGCAGCTTTAACCTCATTATTATTTAGTATCTTTTCCCCATAAATATATTTCACATGCATGTCAATACGTTGTATAGGTGGCTATGCGTTCATTAAATATATGAAGAATAACATTATAAATGAGTTTATATACTTACATATAAAATATACTTTGTACACCATTTTTTAAAAGAAAAAGAAAGTAACACAAAGTAACTTTCTTTTGAAGCTCTGCGTATAGGAGGCTGGTTTTCGTACGAAAAGCAATTTGAAAAAGCAGAAGCAACGGACATACAAGGTGCAATTTTTTTAGTACACTATGAAAGTTTGACAAAAGGTATGTAAGATTTCCTCATAGTTGCAACGTGTCGG